CCCCAAAACCCCAAAACCCCAAAACCCCAAAACCCCAAAACCCCGTTTGAGAAAAATTTTGACATTACTAATAAATTTTTAATAGAAATAAAATGTTGCTTTTAAATTGACTACTGAAAAATTATATATAAGTTCCAGTTCGAATTAATAATTAATATTACTATTGTGAAATATAAATAGAGCAACAATTCTTGATCATGAACGACAGAAAGCAACCACTACTTTACTTGTATGATCTCCCTAAAGATAAAACAACATCAGTCTTAATTGCTAGCATATTAAAAGAGCAAGCTAATTATGAAATATCAGAAGCTCCTCAAATTAAAAGAGTTTAAGACCGTCCATTCTATACTGCTATTGTCAAAATTAATGATCCAAATAGATATGATGAGATTTGCTAAAAATTGAAATTCTTCTAAATTGATAATAAAGAATGTCGTGCTCTTCCTTACATGAAGGAACTAACTGCTGCTTACAGATCAGTTACGAATCAAAATAACAATATCTTTATTAAAGGCATTGATAAAAATAAGTCTTAAAAGGATCTTGAGAAAAGAATAATGGAATTACTAGGTTAATAAGATATAGTATCTTCTCTCAAAATATCAATTACACCTGATCATAAATCTAATGGGTATGGATATGTATTGTTTAAGAGTTAAGAATTGGTAGAAAAAGCACTAAAATTGTAAGAAGAAGGTTTGATCAATGAGATGCTAATAACTAGATACTAGCCGAAGGATAGAAGAGATATGAGGAAAGCATTCAACAACATATACATTAAGAATATCCCAGCAGAATGGAAGGAAGAGAATCTAAGATAACTATTTAGCAAATATGGGCACATCACGAGTCTTGCCCTAATTTAAGCTCAAATTCCTGGGTAACCTGAGGGAACTACAGCACCAATAGCTTTTATTGCTTTTGGTGATCCAGCTGAAAAAGATAAGGACCCTGAAATTGGAATTAAAAGTGCAAATACAGCTGTAAATGATTTACACGATGTAGTGTTTGATGGCCAAAAATTGTATGTTTAAAGAGCTATGGGAAAAGAGGAAAGAGAATAAGAAAAAAAAAGAGAATAACTTAGATTCAAGAAATCAAAATAAAGATGCAACTTATATGTTAAGAACTTCCCTCCAAATACAACAGAACAGTAGCTCAGAGACCTATTTGGAAGTTATGGAGAGATTGAAAGTTTAAAATTATTGCCAAAGGAAGGAGAGGCTTTATATGCTTTTATTTGTTTCGTAAGTCCCGACAGTGCTGCTCTAGCCAAATAGTAATTGCATCTTCACTCATTAAACGGCAAGCAACTCTATATTAATAATTATGAACTGAAAGAAGTAAGATAAGTTTAATAAGAAGCTGCATAAGATTAAGCCGGATTCTAAAACTACAAGAAGTAGCAGCCAGCACCATTGACTCTAGAAATTCTAAACAAACCTGAAATTTACTAGCTTATCTAATACCTTATGATTACATTAAAGCAGCAGTAAAATGGTAGATAAGGAGGAAATCAGAATCCTAGGTACAATAACAATAACTAAAGAACAGGAGGTTAAAGAACTGGTGGTTACAACAATCATCAATAGATATAGTAATAGTAGATGCAAGGTATTCCAAATAATCAGCAACAGTAAAACATGATGCAACATCAATAGATGAGATAATAGCCCCCAGTCATGCCACCTTAATAAATGATGCACTAATAGATTCCTGTGCAACAAATAATTCCTTAGTAGATCCAAAACCTAGGACTTCCACCTCATATTATTCAATATCAAGTAGAATCTAACAGAATTATACCTGCAGTTATTCCTTAGAACCCTAACTACAAGTAGAATGTAGGTGAGTTCATCTATGATTATGTAGAGTAATTGTCAAGTGAGATTCACGCCCCAAAGATTACAGGTATGTTGATTGAGCTTCCTATTCCTGAAATTTAGGCATTCCTAAAGGACTACAATAGACTCGATAGAAAGGTAAAGGAAGCACATACCCTCCTTCAGAAATCACAGGAACAATGAGCTTAGTTGAAATCATATGATTGCAAGTTCTATATATTGCTTTCAGCCTCAAAACATAAGACATTGATTAAAAGTTTCTTTAAATAACTTAAACCCCAAAAATTTTATTTTAACTATTTACACTATAGAAATTACTACGATTTTCAATAGACGGGGTTTTGGGGTTTTGGGGTTTTGGGGTTTTGGGGTTTATGCTACTG